GGGGGGGGGGGGCGGGGGCAGCGCCCTACTCGGACCAAAATTGTCACTTTCGAAAGCTTGTAGCGCAAACAGAAAAAAAGAGAGATGTTAATATACATACCTCTACAAAATTACAGCTCCCTAGTGCCAATAGTTTCCAAGCAAAACCTCGGACAGACAGACAGACAGACATATCGAAACTATAAGGGTTCCTTGTCAGGACTACGGAACCCTAAAAACGACTCTCTCACCTGTTTATTGACCCCGGACTAGTGTTGAAAATGACTAAAGCGGCTGAATTTGAATGACCGTCATTTACGGTCAAATTGATTTCAGTAATAGGTAGTTACTTTTTAAAGGTTTTCTTAGATTTCGTGATTGATAAAAGTCTACAACATCTCAATTGAAATAAAAAAGTGGTTTGTAAAAATTTATTATAGTTAAACATTTTACAGTAAGTATACAACTTTTAAATTGAAACAATAAGTCTGTTCTGTAATGATTTTTTGTGCTCTCTTTCTGTCTCTACGCAATTGCCCTGCACCCTGCACACGTGCATTACAACTGTCTACAGCATTTTTGCGCACGGGTTATGCATAGCTTATTTTAGAAATAAGAATAACAACAAAAAAATGTTCTGAATTTGCTTTTATGTGTAAAAAATAGAAAAAATCATATCAATGAATGTATGAAACATGAATATAGAGATGATTTAATTTGTTGCCAAATATTTTTTTTCTTTCTTTCTTTCATTCTTTCTAATTATTAAAACATCCCAAATATCCATTTAAGATTCATTCTCACAAGAGAAAATTTAAAATAGAGTCCAAATATTTATTAAAAATGAAAAGTTCTAATTTCCTGTCATGTTCCATAGAAGATTTTTCTAATAAAAATCTAACCCTATCATGCTTTCAGTATACTGGCCTTGGTAACGTCGTCTCTCAAATCCCACTATATTTTGATGAAAGCGTGCCCCTTGTACTTGCGAATAAGCCCCCATAAATTATCTATAAATAAATCCCAATGAGAATGTGACGTGCATCTTTAGAGACATTCTACTATGAAGATGGAAAATTCAAATCGCTATAACTCTTTAAAAAGCAAATATTTTCGATTTGTAATCGCACTTTTTTATATAAATTTCTTTATACATATAATCAGAATATAATAAGTAAAATCCATGCGCAAAAAAAAATGTTTTTTTGTTGACCGGTGTTATAGGTGAATGGCAATGTCGCATCGCCGCGCACGTCAACTTTGATGACGTCTTATTCTCTCATAATTTATTACAAAATAACGTTACTTCATTTAAAATTGCATATAAATTGAGTACCTAAATAAATAAATTATTCTATGGTAGTACAGTAATGTTGAGTCAAATTGACTGAATTTGACCGTTTTTGACCGGTCATTATGGTATTTGACCATCGTGACCGGTCAGATTCGGTCCATTTACATAGGGTCCATTATAGGTAACACATTGAGCGTTTTAAAACCGTGTGTGTCTGTTTTTCTGTCCTAATAAAAATGTTAATTTTCATTATTACACGTACATACCTATTTAGATATAATACCTACTTATTGCTATCTAATACAATATTTTATGTGTTGCAGTCAAAACTCATAATCGGACAAAACCACTTTTGACTGCAATAATTGAATTTTCGGATATATCTGGGGGCACGGCAGTGCCCCCACCAAGTCGAGCAAAAAAGCGGCACGGCCGTACCATCCTTTTCTCGAAGCAATTCAGGCCATTTTCGACCGCCTGTAACTTCGTTGTGGATAAAACTAGAAGGCTGAATTTTCATTAGCTATGCAGGAATTGTAAAGACACGGTATATTTAAAATTTCATTCAATTTGAACCAGTAGTTTAAGAATTATANAATATATTTATGTAAAACGTTAAAGATTTCCTGGCCTGGACTTGGTATTACATGGATCTCACAACTTTTTACCGTAGAACAACTGAGTTGCGAGACTTGGTTTTTTTGACAAGTATTGTTTTTGATGGGATGCAGTTTACTCGTATTCTGTAACCTATTAAGTATTCTACCGTTTCCGATCGTGAAGCACTTTCAGGATCAGTAACAAGTTTTTCGATAATATCTTGTATAGTTTAGATTCTTTAGAAATAATCGAGTGAGATTACTTATCTTTTGCTCCCTATATTATGCATTTATGACAATCTATACTAATATTATAAAGCTGAAGAGTTTGTTTGTTTGTTTACTTAAACGCCGCGCTAATCTCAGGAACTACCTGTCCGATTTGAAAAATTCTTTTAGTGTTAGATAGCCCATATTATTATATCGAGGAAGGCTATATACCATCACGCTACGAGTAATGCAGAGCAAAAATGAAAAATGTTGCGAAAACGGGATTTCACGCGTACCTACGAAGTCGCGGGCACAGCTAGTACTTTATAAACTCAGAGTGCTCACCTGAACCAATGCGACGGGAAAATTTAATTTTATCAAGGAAGATGGATTCCATATGTCTTTTTCCTTAAGCCTAGGCGCAGGCGCAGACCATCGATTTTTCGTCAGCCGATAGTTTAGTCGGGCAGTTGATCAGTATGGGCATGTATCTATGGAAGTGCGCTAACGTTCGATTTGGCCGATTCTTCATAGGTACAATTAAAGTCGGGCCCAACTATCGGCCAACTAAAAATCGATGAACTGCGCCTAGGCTTACAAATAGATAATCAAAGCTTGAATGAATTGTTTAAAATGTTATCGGTGGGGGTTATTCATTTTCAAAGTAATTTCTAATGATATATAGATTTTAATTGTAAAAGTTGAACTCAACATTTATTAGACCCTTTATATTTTTCAGTGACGAGCCGCACGGAGACGTCATATCACCTGGAGTACATGGCGTTTTTAGACAGGTTGGTATGTATGTCTTTATAAAATTAAAGTAGGTAGGTAGGTACATTACATACATAATATAAAGTAGGTACACAAGTAAATTTCCTATCGCTCTTCAGCGATGGCAAGAAGAGAAAAGCAAAAGAATTGGTTACGATAAAACTTACCCTTTTAGAACTTTTTCCAAGCCATTAAATTGGTAGGTACTTACATATTTTATCATGCCCCTCTGCCTCTACCACGCCCAGTATCGCTATATGACATTGACGCGCTGCGCTACTCGTTTGCGTGATCAACTATTTACTTATGTAAAAGCAAAATAATCGAATTACAAATTAAACTTAGCATCAAGTTCATAAGGCCCGAATTGTGTCAGCTTTTATTATGCATATTTCATCAATCCGAGGTGACCAAGTGGCATAGCAAGTTGACCGTGGGAAACGACAGCACCTTGTTTCCACGACTTGTGGACTTTATTTGTTTGATGCTACTATTTGTCAGTCTGGGACTCGTTCGCCCCTGATGTCATGCCTTTTCGCCACGTTTTTGGGTAAAGGGGCGAAAGATTACGCGGGGGTCGGGGCGAACGGTTTCGAGACCTATTTGTCTGTTCCTGTTCTTTGATGTGCAACTGCATTGTCTCATTTTCATCTCATCTTGCCATCTTATTGTTGTTGAATTTGAATTTGATGTGCTACCGAGGCGGGTCGTTACATTCCCTCTAATATGGTCGAGTGAAGCGATGGCTGGTTCACTCGTCATGTCTGTGAACAGGCGCTGCTTTCGGGGACTGGTCAATCCAAGTTATTCAAATTTATGTATGCGAGTCATTTCTACTAGTATCTTAATATGTAAGTCTAGATATTAGCACGTCACTACCTTGTTTAATATACCACGCAATCTTGTATGTTACCCATTCTTATAAGATACACCATACAAGAATGCATGGTAAATTCAGTGAACTGCTCCTGAATCGAATGTACCTACTACTACTATTTCTATTTATTTATATTAACCGGCAGACAGTGGTGACTGAGTTTGTTGCGGCGCTTCTTCTCAGCACTTGCCAAATGTTGGTCTCGAAGCGCTGGTAGGGTAAAAAGATTATGAGACATGTAGAGGCTCCTTAAGAGCAAAATGACGATTTGTAAGAACTATTTATTAGTCCAAACAAATAAAGAAATTTTGACTTTTTTTTTACTACCTACTTGTTACAACAGAAAGAAACTTAAACAAAAATCTTCGTTCGTTCGTTCGTTCGTTTCAGCCGAAAGACGTCCACTGCTGGACAAAGGCCTCCCCCAAGGATTTCCACGAAGACCGATCCTGCGCCGCTCGCATCCAAGCACCTCCCGCGACCTTCACCATCGTCGGTCCAACTAGTGGGAGGCCTGCCCACGCTACGTTTTCCGGCTCGTGGTCGCCACTCAAGAACTTCATAATGAAATAATTATTTTGATATGTACGAATAAATATGCTTTCATTAAGTATTTGTTTTTAGTTTGTATAATAATAAGTTTATAGTAGTTACCTAGGTAGATTGTATAAAAAGTAGTAGGTAGGTAAAGTACCTACTAGGTTTGTTACAACATATTACTCATATTTTAATGTTTTTCATTGTTACCTGTCATATAAAAAGGTCTACTTACCTAAACTACTGTTTAGGGTTCCGTAGTCCTGTCGTCGTACCTTAGAAGAAAATATTAAAAGTTACTCTAGATGAAGTAATTGCATACATACCTACTAATTCTGAAAGTTCTGAAATATATTGTGATAACGACGGACAACTACGGAACCCTACACTACGCGTGGCACGACACTCACTTGGCCAATTTTTTCAAGTTATTTTTAATTGAGTTTGCAAGGGTTAATAAAACGTTATAATATTCAGAGACCCTACCTACACCTACATTTATCTCTAATTATCTGGTAACAAACTACCAGATTTACTTTACATTATTATGTAAGTTACTTACATTTGCTTTGAAATGTATTAGAAACAAATTGTTAGCTATAATTCGATTTTCAGATATAGAATAAGATAATACTAGCTTTTGCCCGCGGCTTCACCCGCATGAAATTTTGTTTGTCACAGTAAACTCAAACTATCTCTATGCCTTTCATCAAAATCGGTTCATTGTTTTATTCGTAAAAGCGTGACAGACAGAGTTAGGTACTTTCGCATTTGGTAGTAGGGATTTATTCAATTGTTTCTTGAAATTATTAAAATTATTGGTGTTATGAACAAATGTAAGAAGTAGTTACCTTAAATTTTAGATTAGAATGGTCTCCGGCCGGTATCCTTCCGTTTGGCCAAATTACTTTTCGCCAAATTTCAATTCGCAAACAACTTATCGTCAAAGATTCATTTCCCAAATGAACTTTTAGCAACTGTACTTTTCGCAACTAATTCATTTGGTCAAATTATCATTTGGCAAAATTTTACTTGGCAAATGTTTATATAGCAAAATTAAATGTTTCATTTGGTTTATACAGGGTGGCCAGAACAGTGAGGTCTAAAAGAAAAATTTAGATTCCTTACATCAAGGTGTACCTAAATCACCCCCATGTATGTAATACGATTGTGCATAGTTTAGGAGATAGAGTTAATTTTGTGATATTTTCAAATTTTGTGACCTAGTAGGCTTTAAACATTTTTATCTTTTTTTTGGGGTGACTTTTCTCAGAATTCTTTTTTTCGACAGATTTGTTATTAATTGCAGATGTTTGAAAAAAATAATCACCTTCCTATCTTTGATTCAAGATACAAAAGTTTTGCTAGAAACATTAAAATTATGCTTTTATCAGAACACTATCAAATTTTCAACTTAAAAGTTTAAGTAAAAAAAAGATCTTCCATAGGTCCAAAACCATTTTAAAAACTGTGCCGTTTCCTGAACATTCATAATAATACAAAAAACATGTACTTAATGGGCCACTATTTCCTGTAATCGGTCCACTAAAGTGGTAAGTCGGAGATTCCGTTACATGTTTTTGACTTTCTTAGAGTGAATTAATATTGGGAATCCTCTAAGTTTACATTACGTAGAACAGATTTAGAGCAGTAACTGGACAGAACATGTTTTTATTCTTAACGAGGAAGCTCTTGCCCTTCATCACACCTGGTGGAAACTGATGATTAGGCTGAAGGTAGAAGGGAACTTCAACTAATAAGGAACTATGGCTTCCTACCTCTCCGGTATCCGGTGTGTAGAATTGGCTCTTTCTCGAGACGGTAGCGATTCTTTCTTGCCGGCACTTCGAAATGTTTTGTTTGATTGCAATAAGTTATTGTAGTCTATTTTTTAAACTGCTGCATAATAATAACTCTATATTTATTAATAGAAATCATTTGGAGCATGCGATCGCCAATTAACCACATTAACTTCGTACGCAAAAGCTGCTCGGCTGTCGATTGGAACAGCGGCTGTAGGAATCGGAAATTTATTCAATCGCAAGATGGCGGCCAGTGTGAATGCTTCATGTCCGTGGCCAAATAGTGAAAATGATTACGAATTACGGGATGTTATTGGTATGTACCCTCTTAATTATTATCTGATTGCTTGTGAATTAAATATATTTAATTCAGTAATTCTTTGCCGACTTAATGATTTTGCAATTAATTTGTACTTATGTCAAACTGTCAAATGCCTAGAGAATTTTGTCATTAAAATGAATGTAACCTGATAATTTTAATTAAAATGGTACGGGCTGTAGCTGACCTGGAATAAAGATACATGGTCTTTAATTTCACAGTCAGATAAATTACTTTTCACATGATTTAACATTGATGATATTCATCTGTGTCATTCTAACCTTTACGCTTCATCAAGTGAACTTGGACATAATTTAAACGCTATATATATTTTTCTATTTGGTCCATATGAATAATAGTAGGCTCTAGGTTTTATTGGTATCGCAGATACAGAGAGATCCATTAAATTAAGATAAAAATAATTTTAATGCTGTTAGTTCCATATCTTTAGTCATTGAATACAGCTACTTAATATTAAGTCTTATTTATATTACAGGCGTGGGAGCCACAGCTGTTGTTTATGGGGCTTTTTGTAAACCTCGGAGTGAAAAATGTGCCATTAAAAGAATTAATTTAGAGAAATGGAATACATCCATGGATGAACTTCTGAAAGAAATCCAGGTATGAATGCTTTACCATAAATTAGTTTATAACCTGAGTATAATAAGTTAGAGTATTTAACAACTGATGCCAACATTGTATTGACATATAAAAAGTATTATAAAGAAGTTGTGATGTTTTTATTCTTTTAAGTCAATTAGTAGCCACAACCGCAGTAGTAGTAACCACACAAAACTGTTTACTTACTTCTTGATAGATTATTGAATCTTTTAATTTTTAACGTCTGATTTTTTCCACAGGCCATGTCAAGCTGTAATCATGAAAATGTAGTAACATACTACACTAGTTTTGTTGTAAATGACGAGCTATGGCTTGTGCTCAGGCTCTTAGAAGGTAATATTTAATTATTGACGATGTAATTATGTTATTTTAATGCATAAAAATTATTATAATTTCATGATTTGTTTTGAGTTTAGTTTAAGTATTGTATTCATTTTTAGGTGGGAGTTTATTAGATGTTATCAAACATAAAATGAAAGTTTCCAACTGTAAACATGGAGTATTTGATGAGGCCACCATTGCCACTGTCCTCAAAGAAGTATTAAAAGGCCTAGAATATTTTCACAGTAACGGACAGATCCATAGGTATGTACAATATTATTTGTTATTCAATGTAATTCTAGTATGCAGTGCCATGGTTTCATATTTCTAGTAGGTATATCAATTGCCTATTATAAATTATTGCAAACTACAACTGATTGATAAGTTATTTTTACTGCTGATTTATAAATTGCCTTTTTAAGAAAAATGTTTTGTTGTTTGCAGATTGTGTTTACTCCTTTTGTAATTATATTTTATTTTTGTTCTTTCAAATAAATAACAAGCAAACATTAGTATTTCATATTTGCTCAAAGAACATTATGTTGATTATAAAAAAGAAAATAACAATGAATGTTTGTTATGTATCTGATTGGGCATACGACATAAATGCTTCTGGTCTGCTCAGCAATTCATAATGCATTCATATAGCACAGGAAAATAAATAATAATATTTGCATAGAATTAAAATATTGGTGACGCCTACCTATCTGTTTTTCTATACAAGCAGGTTAGCAGGTTGCGAAATGAAATAATAGCTAAGCGAATTTAAAAAGCAAAGCATCTTATGTAACTGATTGTGATATTTTTAAATATTCCATATTATTGAATCAACAAATAAAGTAGTATGTCCAATACTGTAGCTGTGCTTGCGAGTTATCTAGATACTTTGTGAGATAGTGATTGAGTTCACCTTCCAGAGCCTAGTGGACTAGAAATCTGAAAAAAAAAACTCTGATTGTGTCAATTGTGTACTTTAGTTAGTTTTATTTTTAAACATTACGAATTTGCAGGGATATAAAGGCTGGAAACATTCTATTAGGAGAAGATGGGACTGTCCAAATTGCTGATTTTGGTGTGTCTGCTTGGTTGGCCACTGGAAGAGATCTGTCCAGGCAAAAAGTGCGCCATACATTTGTTGGAACTCCATGTTGGATGGCGCCAGAAGTTATGGAACAGGTAATAAACTCAAATAGTACTCAAGTAGTAGCTAACTGCGCATCTCGCTGGAATGCTACTCTCCCTCCCACTTAACCGCATACCTCCCCGGGTTCGCCCCGTCCGTACCAGAGCGTCGATGTGACGTCACGGCCACCGGGTTGTACATAATTTACAAATTCCAGGATCACGGATATGATTTCAAAGCAGATATCTGGTCATTTGGTATAACTGCGATTGAAATGGCGACAGGCACTGCACCTTACCATAAATATCCACCGATGAAAGTGTTGATGCTCACATTACAAAATGATCCACCAAATTTAGACACGGGTACGCATTTCAATTTAAAAATAATTTTCAAAGCTAATTCAAATTAATTAATGGACATAGTAATGGTAAATAGGTGATAAATAATTTACCTTTATATTTTCACAGGAGCCGATGAGAAGGAACAATATAAGGCCTATGGCAAAACTTTTAGAAAAATGATCGTAGATTGTTTGCAAAAAGATCCTTCAAAGCGGCCTACAGCTACTGAGTTACTAAAACATCCATTCTTCAAAAAAGCAAAAGACAGGAAATATCTAACACAGACTCTAGTTGCTATTGGGCCTAGCATGGAGACAAGAGTCCATAAGGTACGTACAATATTATTGTAATGGCTATTAATCAGTGCATTTATAAGTAGCAATTGCTTTTATCATAAGCAGTAATTGCTTTTAATAAAGATAGAGACTATTTTTATACAACGTGTCCCAAAATTCAAGGATAAGCCGACGCCACAGGATGGACATAATCATGACTAATTTAGGAAAAATACGGAAAAAAATCTATCTCAATTATTTTTTAAATTACACAATAAATTACGAAATTCTTCGAAAATTGACACCCCTTATGATATTTTACTTTACCACGACCACTATTTTTCAAATATTCCTGTTTTTCTGTTTATATCGGCAACTTAAGTAGTGCTGCTGTTCACCCCAACTCTTAAAACCCCCAGAATCCTTGCAGTTTTTAAACAAAAGTTAATCAAAATTTGTTATTTCGTTAAAATTTTGAACGATTTTTACTTTCACTCCACTTTGACTCGTCGTTTTGTAAAAAAAAAGTATGAACACTACTGCGGCAAGTTTTTTAAAAAGTTGACGCAACTATCCAAGATTCCTAAATGGTATAATACTCTAAGAAAGCTAGTCGCAAAAAAGATATGCGTACCATTTTTACAAGAATTTCGCTTGTTAGTTAGTATGGGATAAATCTTGCAACTGAATTTAAAACCAGTTCTCCTTAACCAATTGAGCTGAAATTTGGTATACTTGTGTAACTAAAAAAGAAAACGCGCATTAGTGAACGCAACCTTAGTGAGTGCTACGAGACACTCGAGCTAATTTTGCCTGTATGATCATATTGATATGAAGTACAAAACAATCTTGCTTGATTTTCGGTGCGCTTATGTCATGATCTTGTCACCTTTAAAATTTCAATCTCTGACTATAGATGGCTTAATTCTGATATTGCAGAGAATCTTATTTCACCTCCTAAATATGCATTTATAGTCTTTCCATTGGTTTTAAGATTATAGGTCTCACCCACTACACCGTATCATACCATGACCGTGCTAGGAACGTGTCAGGCAAATAAATATTATTCGTATTGAAAAGTATGACACTGTTCCCAGTAGACCGTTCCGTCATCGACCAACACCATCTCGCGTGCCATGCACGGAGCGTCAACAAATGTCAGCGAGCATACGGGATGTAAACGCGTACATGACCTTTTTATTGGCGTGCTAAGCGCCTAACAGTTAATTTTCTGATGGCCATACCTATTTTACAATTTAAAAATTTGGTAGCTCTCCAAGACTTCCACGCGACACTGTTAGGTACGCATGCGAGAATGAAACGGATTCCTATTGGTTTTGGTGGATGTTGCATACGGGCAACATACGGGTTACATACGGGTTGCATACTGGCATCATACGGGATGTATACGGGCACAGAACGCCGTCGATCCGTTTAGTGGGCATAGTAGAGTAGAGAATATTTAGGGTGCGTTCCGTTATAACATTCACCAGTGAGAACACTATAACGGAACACACCCCTAGGCCGAGTTGCATCATCTTAATTTTAACCATAATCTATGTTTGTTTTTATATGGAGTTTGACAGACTAGACTTGAGGCTGAGTTGCACCATCTAAATTTAACCGTGACTATAACCATAACCAGTGTATTTTGTATGGAGTTTGACAAACTTTATACGTTGTTATAAGTTCATGTAAGATATGCGCAACTCTGAATTGATGTTTTCTTGTCATTGTCATTTATTAGGCGAGCAAACGTCAACCGGGAGCCTCTGGCCGTTTGCACCGCACGCTGACCGGAGGATGGGTTTGGAGCGAGGAGGAAGAGGAGGCAGCCGAGGCCCAGGATTCTGACGAGGACTCCTCGGTAGGAGAGGACAAGAGGCCCATGAATCAGCTGCAGCGGGCCGAATCCAGCGGCAGTGATAATGACGAGGTTTGTAAACTATAAGTCTAGCGCTTAACTCATCCAGTACATTGACATATTATGACGTTACAGAACATAAAGACCCACTAAATTGAATTGTCCCACCAAACACATAGACAGGGGGACGCCATCATCGCTCAACTTTATAGTTTCTAACGTGGCAAAAATCGGAACCAGCGATCCGGTATTGACTATGGCGCCCCTCTGTCAATGTCACGGGTAGGACAGTTTGTTGTAGTTCATCTATAGTCTATACAAATTTGGACGAGATCGGAAGTGTGGCTGACTTTTGACAGCACAAAAACTCCTGTGCCGCTCTTCCCATACCTCAGGCACTGACTGAGCGCCAGACCTACAATTTCAAGACAGATTTAGTATACACTGACATCTTTATTTCATTTGCAGGAACCAAGCGAGAGTAAAGAACCTAAGAAGCCTATAGAAGAAGCTAGGCCAGCTGACCAAAATGGACCTCAAGTCATTAATCTAGTTCTTCGTTTGAGGTAAGTGTACATATTATTAAACTTCAGTGTCTAAATTAATAAGAGTTACATACAATTTCCATTAAGCATAGTTAGCAAGGATGCAACACGGTAAGTAAATTGACAGTTTTGTATGAGCTGTTGAAGTATTAGTTGATTTTAATTACTTTGCTTATCGACATTGTTAATTTATCAATAATCAAAATTAATTGAAAACAAAATGCAAATTTTACATGACCATATTCTATCGTAATTTCCAGGAACGCCCGCCGTGAGCTGAACGACATTCGCTTCGAGTTCATAATGGGCAAGGACTCCGCAGAAGGTATCGCCACCGAGCTGGTTGGAGCGGGCCTGGTGGACCCTCACGACTCTGTGCCTATCTCGCTGAACCTCGCAAAGCTGCTGGATGCCCAGGTCCAGGCATTGACCACCCCTCCCAAGGCTGTCACATTCCATTTGGTGAGTAAGCTATTTAATTGCAAAGAGCTCGTGCGAATTGTTTTCATACTTTTGTTAGTTACATACCATACTAAAATTAACCGTGTTTATTTTAAAGCCGGATCGATAGACGGCTACTTGCAATTTGTATGTGTATTGATAAATCTGACGTGTCGATAATATTCGAAAATACAAAGTGGGGCGCTATATCTGACTGCCATTATCAAAAAATGCAAAGCGCAACTTTCCACGAATATATTGAATAGAAAGATAGTCATAATTTAGCTACTAAAAATGAACTTTGCTCCAGATATCTGTGATTGAAATGACTTAATTTTCAAATATCAAAATAATATTTTGGCTCTAAAAAGCATGACTTGCGTACGTGGTATGCAAAGCAAGCGCGAAAATTTGTGGAGGACCACAGTAATATTCCCCATTTTATTGCTTGGAAGAAAAGCAAAAAAAGCAAGCAAAGCGAAAAAAGTGGGCAGAGCGAGAGTCAAATCTTAGGAAATATTAATTTCTTTGATTTTATGTATTTAAAAGTTATCCCTTGAATTTTGGAAAAATAATAACATGGTATATTAATAAAATTATTGTACTTGGAAGAAAATAGGGTCTTCCGTGAGAAAGTACGACCACTATTTATTATGTCAACAGACTACATCATATAACGTTGTGACCATATTACTTGGAACGTCTGCACGCGATCGTTCCGGCCGGTTCACACATGTCTCCGTTTTACTGTTCCGTTTTATCGTGTGTCGTCGATGTATGTATTACTGTATACAGAATACTGTGTCACGCCCGGTTCACACATGTCTCCGTTTTACTGTTCCGTTTTAACGTGTACGTTTTTTTTCGTCGATGGCGTATGTAGTTGTATGAGCGACTTCACACATGACACAGTATTCTGTATACAGTAATACATACAAAAAACGTACACGATAAAACGGAACAGTAAAACGGAGATATGTGTGAACCGGGCGTCATGTGTAAAGTCGCTCATACAACTATAGCCTGACCAGGAACATAAAAACCCTCGCCATGTTGCGGAAAACTAATGGTACTAATTTCTTTTAATGGCAACAGTAACTGAAAACTTCATTGACATGTCACCTTGCATGTCAGTCTATTGCTGTCAAAGTGTAAACAAACTTTATTTTAAATGTGCGCAATTGATTTTGTGAATTAAATTGCTAAAATCTTTTTATAGTCGTGAAAGAAAAGTGGTTCACAATGTGTTAAAGTATTTATCGAAGAGAAATACTAAGGGTTCGGACAATATTTTCATTGAATAATGTTTCCGACAAAGGTTGTCAAATTGACTGACATGTTTATCGTATAGTACAGTCCACTATGAAAATTAGCTGTGGTTTGTTTCAAATACCTATTTTAAAGTTTTTTGTCACTTTCTAAGTGTTGAATTTTATGGAATTGGGAAAGAAGTACCGAGTTTGAAGCGTTCATGAGCAGACATTACAGTTGAATTTAATTATTGATGAATAATAAAATAAATCATACTAGCTCGATTGATGGTTTCATTTAATTTATTTAAACCAGGTTACCTATATAATCTTTATTCGTTAATTTATGAAAATATCAATTAATTAGGACGTAATCCTGAATCCTGATACATAAAGTTAGCCTATTAATTTAACACAGGTACGACTGTACTCAGTGTTGCACTATCAAATGCAATTGACGCGCCTCTATGCCAGGGTTTTTATGTTCCTGGTCAGGCTATACATACACCATCGACGAAAAAAACGTACACGATAAAACGGAACAGTAAAACGGAGACAGGTGTGAACCGGCCGTTACGGACAGTGCCTTGCTCACTGTAATTGCGTTTTCATTCCTGTACACACCGCGTTATGATACGCGAGGCGTAACTTACCCGTTCGGTTGAAAGTTATATTCGTTCTACCAGTGGCCTAATTCACGTATTTTGTAGTAGCACAGAATAAGTAATAGTACAGGTACAGAAGGATTACTCCGCAAGACGATTTAAATAAATGCGAGTCTTGCTACGACGCGATACAGTGGAATTCAGCTCGCACAGCACTACGTACCTACAATTGTATTCACCTACAAGTTTTGTCTCTTTCTATCGCGTGCCTCTGAACTCTTCTTACGCTGTTAGGGTTGCTGTCTAGTGAAAAAATAATTAATCTACTTATTTGTAATGAGGTACTTAGGTAGGTAAGTATGCATTCATTATGGAAAACCTTGGGAGAGGCCTTTGTCCAGCAGTGGACGTCATTTGGCTGAAACGAACGAACGCATTCTGAGCAGTAGTCATAGTAGGTTAGGTTCCAATACTTTCCTAAGAATTATTGATTACCTACATGGCCAACATACCTTTCAGCATCTTTGGGAAGCGAAAAAAAAAGATAAATCCGCTAGATTTCTTTTCGAATTTAAACACTCGAACGCCGCACAATATTTCTTTCTCTTTATGTCCATTTTTAAATAATACTTCGATCATAGAATTAGGTACATACTACAACGCACGTCAGCGTCCTGACGGGCGCGCGCGTGACACTCGACTGATATAATACCCGCCGGCGGGGCGCTTCGCTGTAGGTAATTATCGGATGTACCGCGCGGAGTGAGCCAGGCCTGGTAGTAGTCACAATGTCGTTAACGTTTAGAAGTCGTCCTATTGTCTTTAATCCGTATTCACGTGTCATTTCGATATAACGATTACTAGATAGGATCGCAACTCAGCGGCATCTGATTAAACCAATCTTCAAAATAATAGGTAGGTGAATAGTGCGGAGGCAACGATCGAATGCGCATAAAAACAAAATCGAAAGAAAATCGGGCGACTAATACGTGAATACGAAAAGTGACCAGCGATCAAATCACTTGCATGTTGTTGAAGTGTTGTTACGTGAATTAGGCCACAGGCCTGTTCATCTCCGCGAGTATGCATCGAAAACAAAACGCGCACGGCGTACTCTCCTGGGATGTTTAATCCACAAGACATTCACGTTGGTTCCTTCGTTCGTTCTATCAAATCAAATGACCCTTGTGAATACGGATTTAGAACTGTTTTTCAATGGGACGACTTATGAACGTCAGCGAGATCTTGACTGTCAAAATACGTGAATTAGGCCACAGGCCTATTGCACAGTCAAAAAGGTTCAGTAAAGTTTGGCAATTCTACGGGCTCAGTTATTTTGGTTTGGTTGCCTGTGGTTGGAAATGATGTAAAATGTATGTCAATCGTCGAATCCCTTTTCTGCTGGGCAGCATTCGGGTCGGTAGGGCACAGCACACTCAATAAATTTAATAGTGCACACAGTAGTGATCTCTCTGTTCATTTATCTAGAAATTCGGTCTTGTGCTCTAGGACTCGAGATGTGAGATTGTTATTGTTAGATATAAATTATTTCACGGTTGATTTGTTCACTTATGGATATCACAAAAACCGCGCCTTACTTCACTATTCAGAACAACAGGTCCAATACAATAATATCATTTATTTCGTTACAGAATTCTGCTGGACCCAACGAACAATTCGACGACAAAGCGTTAATAGGTTTCGCGCAAATTTCCATCGTTGATTAAGGAGGTCTAACTACGGGAAAACTTGATCAAAATTGCGTCTGACTCGATCGGCTTGTAGTTTCTCCACCTGAGTCTGTTCCTAGGTCGAAGCGCTTTAGAGGAACAGAACTCAAGAACCGACTCAAGCGGTAGAAGCATAGTTATCTTACCCCTAGTCTAGTTATTCTATGTACTTCTATTTATTTATGGTGCTAGCGGTTGAAAAGGCACGGCCTTTGACCTCCGTATAGAATACGAGGCGATAGAAAAAATATAAAAAAATGGTTTTCCCTGTAGTCTATAGTCTGGTCCGTGAGCACGTAGAATTTTGTCCAATGACCCCAAGCTACCCATCCTTATCGCTCGCGCGTAATTATGTTGCTATCGCGCTCCCACACTCACTGCGGGTGCCAGTCGCACAGCCGCGACAGCAATATAATTACGCGCGAGCGATAAGGATGGGTAGCTAGGGGTCATTGGACAAAATTCTACGTGTTCACGGACCGGGGTTTAGTGGTATGTATTTCATCACAGGCCATCAACTTGTACCGAGCCAAAGATGTTTTTAATTCATTTAATGTAAGCGGCGTTGACGTGTCTTTTTGTTCTATGAGAATACATCTGGTTTATAAAAAGTTATTTAGTGAGAGGAAAATTTCTAAAATATTACCGAAGATGTATTGCAATCACGAACAATGATGTTACTGTCTGTAGTACCTATTAAGCTGTTTCGATTGAATCATTTTATTTTGTTCATTGCAATTTATTAAATTATAAGAAAAAATATTATTGTTCGATTACATTCGTACAGGTATTAGAATTTTATTAGAGTATCAAATTTACCAATGATTGAATGATTAATATATACTTATTAAATATTATTTATCTCTTTAAATTTATATAACATACTGGAGTTTCAGGTTTTAGTTATTTATGATGACTAAAAAAAGGGCTGATATTGACGAATTTCATTATGATCTGATTTTACATTTTAGTTAACCTCCGTGTATATATGCATGAATTTATAACCATTCTTATGAACATCATGGTATTATGTACATTATACACTATTCCTAGCTTTTATTTATATTTTAATAGTCCGTGTAGTGTTTTTATTTTTGTGTAGGTACGTGATTCACACGGTCGTCCGGTCGTCTTAAGACTAAAATGTTTGATGACACCAGTTTTTTTTTAAATTAGTATTATCTACGGGTCATTATTATACAGACTGAACAAAATAATTTTAAAGCCCCATCTTGCGTCTAAGTGCTGCATATGAAAATGATAAATCAATATGCAATCTTAAGATTTCTGGTGGCTAAAAAACTGGTGTCATGTTAATAAAGATACGCTAGTTGTATAACCGGTCTTTCTGAACACCGAAATAAACAAGCGATTTTCGTATTTCCTCGATTTCTAATGGTGCTGCGCAATTTGAGCTTGGCGAGCCGTCAAGTAGA